GATTATATCTGCTATATGGTAAGGAAACTGAAATCATGTAAAAACAGTTGTAAGATGCTCTGTAGCTCTTCTGACTAGGTTTTCTTTAGCACCATATCTGCAGGTGCCTGCATATACTCTAAAGTGCAATTTAACCTGAAGGTCTGGGAATCCCTGACCCTGTGCCTGTAAAGCTTTGAAAGGTTTTACTTTTGCGAGGCCTTGTTTTATGTTGTCAATTTTAGAATCTAAACACCAGTTCAAGTAGTTAGTTTTTATCCTGACAAGGCCTGGGATGTAGATGTCAAGTTTGAACGTACTTGGTAGTAACCTTGTTCCTTTTGTTACTTCATAAGGACACTTAATGATAAAAGTGGCTGCTCGACTGTTTAAAAACAAATTAAATTAAAATATTGCATGTGAGATTCTGGTAATAAAACCATCAGTCAAAGAGCCTGGGTTCATATGTAAAAGCAGTTTCTTTGAGATGTGTAACACTCATGTTATTTGTGTTCGTGTTAATTTTTAACACAAGGCTTCGTAAAGATCTTTCTGAGAGCTCTGCCCTTATGCAGAGTTTGAAAAACAATCTGGAGAGGAAAGAGGAAGAATACACAGATTTGAAAGAGAAATTTTCTGATGCCAAGAAACAAGTGCAGCAAGTACAAAAAGAGGTTGGTATCCATAGGCCAAAAGTTTCTTCTGCAAGTTTGTCTGAGGTTCTATTACTAAAATTTGTCACAAATCTCAAGCTATGAGTGTTAGCAGTGATTCATACTAAGGCTATTTTCAGTGATAGATTTAGAGTAGTGGTGAATCTTCAGTTACATTGACATTGAAGCTGTAAGCTAAAGCAAAGAGCAGATGTCAAAATGTGGATTAGTACAGATACTGAAGGGGGGAATTAAATTTTATCGATCCATTTGAAAGATGGTTGTGAAAACTATGGCAAGTCTGGTTATAGAGCAGAACTTCATAACCTTTCTAACAACAATAGCATTACACTGTTTGTGCTGGCTTCAAAGCCTCAGACTTGGACAAAATGATTATCTCTAGGAGGAAAAGACAGATCAATCAGAAAAGGAAAGCACTACCTTCTGTAGAATTTTTAAAATCTGAGCTATGTTTTCTATTAAGCCTGGACATATGGAATGAAAAAAAAGAAAGAAATACATTTTACTAATCTTAATTGCTAGTATTTAGTTATCAAGTAGTAGGATTTCTTGGAACCCCATGGGGTATTGCAAGAGTTTAAAATCCAAAAGACTATTGGGAGAGCTTGAGCTTGAAAGATAAGCCTGAAAAGCTATTAATGTCTTCCTCAGCAACCTAACATTTGAGGACCTTTTGCTACTCAACATTCAGTGCATAATCCTCTGAGAAGTAGCAAGGAGTGGATGGGACCACATGTCAGAAAGCATCAGCACTACCAAATAGCACTTTAATTTTTTGAAAGGACAACTGAATTTGTAGTTGGATTTAGCTGTTCCCTGGTGGCTGGTTTTGGGTTTGTGTTTTGTTTGGTTGTTGTTTTGCTTTTTTTTTTATCCCCACTGCCAAAGATAATTCTCTATGGTGAGAATCCTTTCCTAGGAAAGATGTATTGTATAGTGTACTTCATTGAAGTTTACCTAAAATGCTTGCAAAAATTTGATTCTTAAAGAATGAGGTTATTTAAGTAACTTACGGAGTTTCTAAAATGCTTATTGCTAATTTTTGGCTTTGCTTGCTATCTGTACATTGTTACAGGTGTGTACAATGCGATCTGAGGAGAAATCCCTGAGGAATGCAGTTAATGAACTTCAGACAACTAAAATCAAGCTTAGTGAAGAATTAGAGATTAAACAGCGCACGATCTTGCAGCTTAAAAAGGTATTTTATTTTTTAAAGTTTCACGTCTTCCTAATTTTCAACTAATCCATTAATGAGGCAAGTTTTCCAAGTTTTTATTGAAACACCAGGAGTAAGCTTACAGAACTAGTGGTAAAAATAAGAGTAGCCAGATGAAATTGCTTTTAATGGGTGAATGAAAAGTGCTTAAGGAATTTATTAAGGCAAAACATTGTCAAATTATTTTAAACAGTTTAATCTGCTTCATAAATACATACTTAATGCCTAGAGATTTCCTGATTTTGATTAACAACACTTAAATATGTTAGTAGTAACATCATCCTCTAAACAGTTTTTTATCAGCTCGAATCAGCTTTACACTATATGAAAAACTCATTTATTCTGAACTGTTTGTCTTAAATACTGTATTCATTACTTATTAAAAATCAAAATGACAAGCTACTAATTTCAAGCATGTATATTTCTTTCTTTCAATATGTTTGGTTTAATTAATTTTCAATGCAATTTTTAGGAGCAGTTGAATAATGAGAAGATGGAAGAAATCTCTAAACAGTATGATAAAATACATAAAGGTCAGAAAAAAGCCATTCTTTTTTTTTTTTTGAATGGCAAAATGTGTTGTCATGTTGTGAACAAATTTGTGAAGTCTTGTATATTTTTCTAAATACTGAGAAACTCCAACCTATTAATTAAAATGTAAAAAAAATAAATTTAGTTCATCAGGAACTAATTTTTATTTAATCATTATTAGCAGATATATTTGAAAATGAAGAAACAGCCTCAGAATAAGAAACATAAGCCATAGAAAAAATGTGAATTTGCTGTATCAGTGTTATCTTACTAACTGTTGGTATTTATTTGACATTTTAGTTGTCAATTTTACTAAAATAAAACACTGAATCATGAACTAGCACAATAACAGTTTCTGTAGATGTGATAAACATTTAGCAGCTGAACAATAGTTTTTCATTTAATACAAGCCATAGTGTGGTGGGTTAACCCTAGCTGAGCAAGTGATGCCCACCAAGCTGCTCTGCCTCCTTCCTCCACAGAGCAAAAGGGGAATAGAAAATAAGATAGAGACAAAAGCCTTGTGGGTAAAAACAAGGGCAGTTTAATTGGAAAGCAAAGCCAAGCAATGCTGCACGGAAGCAAAGAGAAAAAAACCCAAAGATTTATTCTCTGCTCCCCATCCCCAGGTGATGTCTGGCCCCTTCCTGGGAAGCAGGGCTCCAGAACGTGTAGTGGTTGTTCTGGAGGACCAAGGAGTAGCCCTCCCCTCCTCCTCCTTTGTACTCATTTTATAGTTGAGCTGACGTCATGTGGTATGAAATACCCCTTTGGTCAGTTCGGGTCAGCTGTCCTGGTCGTGTCCCCCCCAAGCTCCTGCCCCCCCATCCCACTGGGGGGAATGTTAGAAAGAGCCGTGGTGCTGTGTGAGCCCTGCTCGGTGGCAGTCCCAGCATGGGTGTCATCCACACCCTTCTCACTCCCAACACAAAAGCACTGCACCAGGAGGGATGCAATGGGAAAACGAGCTCTGCTGGACCCGTAGTCTGACATTAACACTGAAATGCTCACCTAGGTCAAGTTGATGAGAATTTCTTAAGAATTTTGGACTTGGATATTTCAGTAGATGTGCTTTATTTCTTTCTAACATAGCTTTTGATCTCAGGAAATGGGGGCAATGACTTGTAATGAAGACATTTCAGGAGAGAATGCTGGGAACGAGGAGGGGGCTCATCTGTGAATGTGTTTTCAAATTTTCAGATCTTCGTGCAAAGGAAAAAATAATTGAAGATATGCGGATGACATTAGAAGAACAAGAACAGACTCAGATTGAACAAGATCAAGTACTTGAAGCCAAAGTAGAAGAAGCCAACAGATTAGTTCAGGGTAATCTCTCTGTGGAAAGGGAGCAAGGAGGCCAAATTGTTTTGAGTATATTGTGGTAGCTGCTTCAATTTCTGGTTTTGTTTATTAACTCCTATTTAGATTTTAACTTCAAGTAGTATATAACAATCTGCTAACAGTTAAAGGCTTATCTTTTTCCATTGTGGTCCTAGCTGATAAATCCAAGTAACTTTAGTAGAAGGACATGAATGTGGTCAAATATGCATTTGAAACCATACAGTATGTAACCTTATGCATTTTGTGTACTGAATAGAATTGGAAATATGGAAGCAGAAATGCAGAGAGCTGAATAACCAGAGCAATAATGACTGGCAGCAAAAGATGAACAAAAATGAGGAGAATAACATAAATGAGGAATTAATAAAGCTGCAAAATGAACTGAAGGTAAAATATAATGATATATAGTTCATACTTAAATTACTAAGTGGAAGTTACGGCTTTAAAACTACTTTTTGTTGTCAGTGTCTTCAAGGGCTGGGTCACGGTGTGGCAAGCTGTTAGACTTGTGAAGGAAACCCTCCTCTAAAAGCCGCAGTGCATCAGTGCAGCAAAGTATGGATGGGTGCAGTGTTTTTGTGCTACATGGCAGCACTGATGCCTTGTAATGGAGCGTGCCCTTCCCTGCATCGTGCTGCCATGCTCTGTGCTTCTGTAGCTGGGCTCCTCTTACAGTTGTCCTAACTAATCCAACTCCTGATATTCATTTCAAACCTCTTTCCTGTCAGTTGCTTGGGCAACTATATCAAGATCGTTTGCTTGCTGTATAGTCTTCCTGTTAGGCTGAGGGCTTACCTCTAATTTTCATTGGATTAGAAAGTAGGCCTTTTTTCCAGGCAGATGCCTTCTGTCTTATGTGGGAGAATGTCTGATGGGGTTCGATTGTGATAGAAAAGGAGGCAAAGGTGCTGTGGATTCAAGTGACATTCCTAAGTGTGCACTACCTCTGCCTGCCATTCAAATTCTACTGCATTCTTTGCCTTTCACTCTGGAAGTAGAAGTAAGTTTTCTAATATGTCCTGTAAGGCCACACAGGAGATTGGGAATTTGTAAGCTAAAAGGTTCTCTTTACCATTACTTTTGGTGTAACTTGATTAGTGTTTGCAACTTACCCAGAGCATTTTTAGAGGAAAAAATTGTTCCATGAAGGTGTGCCAGTCTGAGTAAGAAGTGTTGAAACATGTTATTTTTTTCAATGGAGAAGAACAAATAAGAATGTAATACTTGCACTTAAGAATATGCTGGAGTAAAACTGTGCTAGTATTTCTGCTATCTTTTGAAAATGTTTAATGGCAATCTGGATTTTAAGGCTTTTTTCTTGGTAGCTACCTATGGTTTTGTTTCTGGTTTCATTAAAATAGGAAAACGAGGCAAAGTATCAAACTGATAGAAACAAGTGGCTGGAGGAAAAAATGGGACTCCTAAGTCAAGTAAGAGAAACTGAGAACCGTCTCAACAGAGAAATGAGAAAATTTGCAAAGGAGAGAGAATGTCATGCAGAGCACCAAGCAGAAATTGTAAGTGGCTGGAGGTCTCAGCAGAGCCCTCTGGTGTAAGTCTTTAGTCCAGCGCAAATCTCAAAGTGTTCCCAGCGTGGGTGGCTGAGGGTGGCTGGCCTTTGGCCAAGTCCCCCCCTCGCTTTATCACGCTGCAAAGCCTGGAGGAAATCTTGCCCATATGAAAAGGGAAGAATAGGCGGGTCACAAAATGAAAAATGTAATTTAACACCTCTGTTCCCCTCTATCCTGTCACCACCACCTCCTCACTATGCATTCTTCAAATTTCATCTTGCCTGTAAGGCACAGCTAAGTAGCCTACACTTAAATTAATTGCTATTTAATAAAGGTAAGAAAACATACTTTGAAAAATAAGATTTGTTGCTTGGCTTTTCTAAGGAAAAACAAAAAGGAAGCTTTAGATGAAAAGGGGAAAAACAAGTAGAATTTGACCAAAAAAAGCTTATTTCCAGATGTAGAGTAAAAATACCTGGTCAGAATGCCGGTTGTTTTGCTCCCATATGGCTTTCAAAGTAGAGTGACTGACAGTTAATAACAAGGTGCACACCTCTTTGCTGGACTGCCTCAATGTTGTAATTCTTCAGAGTCTGAAATTATTATATGAATCTGTACAGTCTGAAGCTTTCTTCGCTTCTCGTAGTTAGCAATGACTTTCTGGACCTACAATC